TGTCTGTCTACTGTTCCCCATTACCTCCACCAATTACATCTTTCCCTACACTCACTTCCATAACATAAGGAAGACTTCCAAAATATCCTGGTCATTAAACATCTCCAAATTATTCAGAAACTAAACATCCAACAACAACAAAGCTTGAGGATGAAGACTTCCATAATTTGCTTTGTCCATCACATGAGTGAATGAAAAGGAGGGCAGGTGAGGGGGTGAAAAAGATGAAGATCATTCCACCTAGAACATAATAACGAAAACCCCAAGAGAAGACAGAAAAGACCAAGAAAGAAAACAAAATATGAGGGGAAACTATTTTACTGCAAATGTGAACCAAACCACCTACTGGTGCTGCTTTGTCAGTGTGGCTCAAGAACAGCAGCTTTAATGAGCAACCCTGTAGTAATTTATTTTATGGTAACTAATACTGTCATGGACATTCATTCAAAATGGCATATGAACGTGAAGCTGGTCAACCTTTTAATTCCTTCCACCACCATAAGAAAGCAATTAAGCTAAAGGGATTGAGAATCATAAGGAACTAAGGAAATGAATTACAAAAATATACAGGAAGTTTGTAAAGCACCATTGACATGTATCACCTTCATAGTATAATCATTAATGACTGTTTTTCATTAACATACTAATTCCACAATACTTATGTCATGGACAACCTCAACCAGATGTATCTAATACTACCATAATCTATGTTTACAAAATATCAGGCAAAAAATTAACTCTATCTACGTCTTTAAGACTAAAAACAAAATGACTAAACTCAACATACAAAATGGCCGAGTAGAGATCTAGTAAAAAGGCAGGCATGAAGTAGTGCCGTCTTAATGAAGCACAGTGATACATAAAACCCTTGGCCCACAATCCAAGCAAGTTAATGCTGTACGATGTTATTCTAATGGAATAAACTTAATCAACACTTGACTTAATTTCATTAAAAAAAAATTAATGTAGGTGAAGTATATGAGAAACTGAATAAAGGTTGCATGGAATGTGAGAAGATGTGCAAGAAAAGTGTGTGTCTCAAGTGCTTGTACATTAAAAAAAAATCTCTGACAAGTACTGCTTATCATTGTAAACAGTGTCAAGTCAATGGGTGTGTGAGCAGGGAAGTGATTATGTGAAACAAAAAGTAATACAGCATTAACCATGGTATCTGAAGACTGCATCAAACAACCTGTATTATGCAGGGCTCGCGCTGCCAATCACCATTTTCGCCAATGGCAATTTTTCTATAAAGTTGAGTAATTTGAGGTGTTTTATTTCTACAAAATAGAATGTAGTGGAAATGATCTTTACACCACAAACTTCAGCTGGTTATTTGTGTATATGCATATTGAGAGGAATTACACAAAGAATTTGCTAAAGTGGCAACCATTTTACATTTTGACCAATACAGTATTCAGTGTGAGCCCTGTTAGCTATATATAGTAAATTACACATAGGATGCACACAGTTAACTATTTAGTTTGTCTGTGCAATATTGTGAACACACAAGAGGGCAGACAAGGTTGCACATTCAGTACCTCCAGTGTTAAAAAAGTATATAATTAACAGGGTGTGGTTATTTGTAAGGGAATGAAGCAAGAAACAAGTGCACATGCCTTATGATGACACACATGGGAGAGACTGCACAGTAAACATTAATAACGGGAAATGAACCAAGGATGATGAGTGGCTTAAGCAGATGAAGTTAGGTATTTGACTAAATGGTAAAATAGTGGTATCTAAATGGTCTAAAATGGGTGCCCTCCCTAACTCTGAGTATGTGTACATGTTCTTAAAAATGATTCAAAAGATAACACAGGTTCCTGCCTTTGAAGACAAGTGCAGATAACATGAGTTGCTGTTTTTTAATGTGATTATAAAGACAATGTTTAGTCAGTGTTTCTGAGAATGAATAAAGACAATGTTTAGTCAGTGTTGCTGAGAATGAATAAAGACAATGTTTAGTCAGTGTTGCTGAGAATGAATAAAGACAATGTTTAGTCAGTGTTTCTGAGAATGAATAAAGACAATGTTTAGTCAGTGTTGCTGAGAATGAATAAAGACAATGTTTAGTCAGTGTTTCTGAGAATGAATAAAGACAATGTTTAGTCAGTGTTGCTGAGAATGAATAAAGACAATGTTTAGTCAGTGTTTCTGAGAATGAATAAAGACAATGTTTAGTCAGTGTTTCTGAGAATGAATAAAGACAATGTTTAGTCAGTGTTTCTGAGAATGAATAAAGACAATGTTTAGTCAGTGTTGCTGAGAATGAATAAAGACAATGTTTAGTCAGTGTTTCTGAGAATGAATAAAGACAATGTTTAGTCAATGTTTCTGAGAATGAATAAAGACAATGTTTAGTCAGTGTTTCTGAGAATGAATAAAGACAATGTTTAGTCAGTGTTGCTGAGAATGAATAAAGACAATGTTTAGTCAGTGTTGCTGAGAATGAATAAAGACAATGTTTAGTCAGTGTCTGCATAAGAACAGAAAAACAATGTGGGTCACTCGTTATAGTGGTGAGTTAATGATGATGGCAGACATATCACTGTTTTTGAAGATATGTAAGTACAGTACAGTAGTTTTAAAAGAGGATTACAAGACAATGGAAATATCTGAGTGGTTTACTATAATGTTCACCAGGAGCTGCATGTAAATGGTGGAAAATATTAGTGAGTGAAAGAGGATGGAGCCAATGTGTCCAGCAACCAAATAATTCCTGGAGATTCCGAGTTAAAAAACGAGTAAGCTAAGAACTATTATTGTAACAAATAAAGCAAAAGACAATTAACAAACCAATTATCATATTAATGCTACTTAATTAAATTACATACCAAACAATTTTGCTGGCCTCTTATATACATTGCACACACACACACATATAAATATATATATAAAATATATATATATATATATATATATATATATATATATATATATATATATATATATATATATATATATATATATATATATATATATATATATATATATATATATATATATATATATATATATATATATATAAGTATATCCATTTCCCTTTCTACTTTTCATGCAATATGTTTTGCCTTCTGTACTCGAAGGTTCTCACTCCTTCTCATCAATAATGTCTATTAAAATGAATCCAAATTAACAAATTCCAGTATCATATGCCTTGTAAGGAAAGACCTGTAAGGGACCATATATTTACTTCGTAAATGCCAATTATTTTGTAACTATTTGAATCTGGCCACTACACCTATGTGGGAAAACTTCATTATATTTATAAAGGTAAACTCTTCTTTCTCAAAATATTAAAGCTTTCTATAGCCCCTGCCCCACTCCCTCTTCCTTATCCAAAGTGGTCAATGACCACTCAAAAGACAGCAGAGCTGCAAGCAGAAATTGCAATTAACGTTAACTACAGTACTTTCAGTTTGCCTCCGGAATACAGATCAGAGCATATCATGTCCCTGAGATGTCCAGAGTTGCATTTAGGTTCCATATCTTTTACTGTCTAGGGTCCTGAAAGCTGAGGATAACAGTGTAACTGTGATAAGATTATATGAAAAGTGGGAAGTTACCTGAGGTGTCAAGTTCCTTAGGATGAGCCAGGTGGAGGGCAGCTGAGAGTTGGTCCAGGCTCCTGAAGCAGCAACGGCTGCAGCAGCAGCCGAATGTAAGGCACTGTTTGGGGGATTCCTATGCTGCTCTCCAGACCATGATGTTGATCTGCCAAGGGTCCCCCAAGACCCTCCTCCACTGATCAAACCGCTATTCTTTTGAACACCCACACTACCAGCAATTAGCCCTGGTGGTGGGCCACGAAGCTTGTTCCCTGGGGCACCCCACAGTTCTGAGGCCAAATTGCTGCCACCTTCATGGACAGTCTCGCTCCACGATGACCCACTCTTGCCATTGGTCCCACTGCTCAGCTTGCTGTCCCTGCCATTGGTATTTTTTTTTTCTATGCTTTAATAACTCCTAATAATTTGTTATATAAAGTAACATGTAATTGACACTACGGAGCACACAAGAAGAGTAAAATAATTTTGAAGAGGGCCAATGAGTACTGTAACTACTCTGTGGGGCCTATAGTATTTGGGAAAGCTGATATTCATTTCATGGCCAAAAATCTACAACACTATACCTTCCCAACCCCTCATTATAAAATGGTCCACTTAAGTGTTAACATCCCCACTAGGTCCAAAAAGGACTTTATTCCATCTAGGCCCATATCAAAATTAGTTGGCATGACAGTACAGGCATAGTATGGTAAATTTCAAGCAGAATTGTACACCGGAAGCTCCCTAATAAATAATTTTGGCAGTGTGACAAAGGGACAGTAAGCAAAGTCACAAAGCACATCAAAATAAAGTCCATAGGAAGTTCAAGCGTTTAACATTTCATGCAAGAATAATCAATGAAGCTCCCAAATAAATGTGCTCTGACATGGTGTGATATGGCAAGCCACAATAACATCAACATCTGATAAGTATGAGTACCAATTGACCAATCTCACTCAACAAACCCACTGGATGCTTATGTATAAATTAAATAATAACTAGACACATACAGAGCATAAAAATACAGCACAGAGGATGTAAAAATAAATAAATAAATAACCAAACAAAAATAAACATTACACAGGAACTAAATTTCATGCATCCTCTCATAATTTTGTCCTAAGTTGGGAGCTATTCTTAGTAACGATTGAGAATGAATTAATAATTGAGAATGCAACAGAGATTGCAGTAAATAAAACCTTTACATTAATAGTAAATACAACTATTAAAGAAAAACTAAGCATTATAATTTGATTACCCTTAATCATACCTCTATTGTGGCTATCATATTGACAATAACAAAACACTGACAAGATCTCTCGGGCACACACATGCTAAGTGAACATAACTGCTAGCATACCCTGACAACGGAGAGTTGGTGGTGTGGTGGCCGGGTCCTGGGTTGAAGCTCCAGGTGTTGGTGGAAAGGGAAAGGGAGGTGAGGTGGCTGGTCATTTCTGAAACAGTGTTGGTGGTCGGGGTCTTGGTGATGGATGACAACAACTCCGAGTCCTTGATGCCCAAGGACAAAGGAGAACGTGTCACTGAACCCGGCGTTATATTTGGGTCATCCTCAATATTCTTCATCTGAAAGTTAGTTGTTAAAATGTATATATATTTGAGTTATTAATATTTACCCATGAAGAAGAATACTGTATCAAGATCAAAGATTAATATATAACAAATGACCAGACCCCCCGAAGAGTTCCTCAATAAAGATAAAAGACAAGTAATGGGCGAGACGGCAGCAGTATTATAATAACAATGCCCGACCTCATAACAATAAACCAAGAAAAAAAGGGCAAGACTGAAAGAAATCTCTTACAACAAGTAAATTCACTAACAGTGTGTCACCCAATTTTCCACAAGTTAAACACTGGACTCATTAGTAGCACCAGTTTTCACTATTTTTTCATTATTGAAGGTTAATATCTGGTAAATTATTCCTTGTATGAACATTCTTTTTATCTTTATCAAGTTGTTTGCACCTTCCTTTATAAAGAATGCATCAACAGGTATTAAACAGAATTAGCCCCCCCTTTGCTTCACTCCCAAACAGACATACAGATCTGTAACCCAGCCAATAACACAATGTTTTTGACCAACTCTAGAAAGATTTAAGGAAAAATAACTTAAACAAGACATCATGAAGGTACAGTAAGTATCAGATACAGAACATCATATATAAGAGTATATCAATCACTATATAAGCTAAACTAATTTCAGGTTAAATGTTTAAAGACACTCTGGAGGATAAAAGTAGCTTCATTAAAACATTCCTGGCTTAAACTTTTATCTACTGTAGTATAATCAAATTAACTGGGTGAAGTATTATGGATGAGTGAACAAGTGTGTGGAGGGAGCAGCAGTTACTGTGTATGGTCTACAAACCTTTATGTAGTTGTTTATCCCAGTGATTTAACCCTTTAAGCTTATGGCCAGAAGATCTAGTCTAACCCTCTTGTTGGCCGACGACAATTCTCGTGGCAACTGTTGCTTTTTTATTTTACTGCCCTTTTTTAACTATTACCCAGCCCGGTAACTCCCGAGGTAAGAGTGGTCTAAGTAACTACAGCACAGTATTGATTATCAGAATTTTTGCCAAAGATTCTCATAAGTTATCTCTTCACACATTTGTACTCTTGCATCAAATATATTTTATACAACAGATAAAAGAATAATGGCTTATTTTAAAAAACAAAAATTACAAACTTGAAATACTCTTACATAAGAATAAAATTTAAACAAGCACGGCAGAATGGATAATAAAAGAAGGCGCTGATCGTCACTCCTTGTTAACCCTTTAGTAAGAATCATATGGCCAGATTCCTTTTTTTCATATCGTAACAAACATTTAGACATGGCCAGAAGTGGCTTGGACCACAACACCATATATGCTTTATATTTCTTTGGTCAATTCCAAAAATCCGTCATCCGGGCAGTCACCCATGATTTTTAACCAATTGCCACAAAAAGGTTAAGGTATTCTCGAATGAAGCATTGCAGTGTGTGGTAAGGGATTATCACAGATTTTTTTATTTTTATTAATAAAATCACTAATTTTACAATTTATATAAACACTAGCTAGATTCTTGTACAAGAAGTATATACCGAACACAATGAAATTTTTGCAGGTTTAACATAACAACGAAGTACTTTATTGATATCGGGTGTCGGGCAACTTGCAGGAACAAGAGAGAAACAGTTTACCGAGACCCGTAGTTTATGGTGAACTCACTAGAATTAATTCTCTTCATATGATGCAGGAAAAGACTTATATTTGAAAAAAAGAATTATTAAATGTAAAAAATTTAGAACATATATAAACGCTTCACAAATTTATTTTACAATTACCCTTTACCAAGAGGAAAATATACTTTATTCATTCAGAAAATAGATAAACTCTTGAACAAGTTATATACACAAAAGTGAAATACTGCAGAACCAACACAACAATGAGTCATTCATAAACAACTGTGGCCTGGTGGGATGTGGTGGATGCGAAGGGTTGTGGGTGTGCCGAGAAGGTCTGGCAACTGTCAGGCAATCTGTGTCGTTGGCCAGTGAGAGGGTTAAGGAACAATTATTCCTAATTCTCTCAGCTACCTTCAAGTTAAATAATCATTCTATTGATATAGTGATTAATAATCTTGAACTATTTTTCATATGTGGAGTGTACGTATACACTGATTTTTTTAGATTCATTTAAGAAGCTGAGGGACAAAATTAATTCTATTATAATATTTTCTGGTAGGTACTATGCTGTATATTCAATACCTGGCCAATGGCCAACACATGCAGTTTGACAACTGTGAATGAGCTCTTGTACTCAACACTCTGTAATGGGGAAGGGTTGAGCATATCCCTACAAAAAAATATATATATATATAAAATGTGTGGATCTACATGAGATATATATATATTTATATATAAAAATCTTGATTTTGGATATCCAGATGGGACTACAGCTGCTCCTTGACTTACGACTGGGTTAGGGACCCAAATCCAGGTCGTAAGTCGAAAATGCTTAAATAGTAAATAGAAAATCGAAAATGGGTGTCTCTCTCTCTTCTCAGCACCACAAAACTCTCACTTTTAAGCTTGTCAGCCATTTTAAAGTGAATTACAACCGAAAATTTAGTCAGTACACAGCGCAATCACTGACATTGGGACTCGAAAATACGTAATTTGACAAAATTTTGGTACGACTGGGGTGGTCGTATGTCCGGGTGGTCGTAGGTCGTAAGTGGAGGAGTAGCTGTATATTTGTACACAGAAACAGTGACTGAGTTACCCCAGTGTTTGGTAGGACAGTGCACAACCTAAACATTTACTTCTAACTCTAATAAACTGTACTACAACAGGTGAGCTGAGCATGTGGTCACATCCCCAATTCCTTCTCATACACTTTGTCCTAAAATTTCTACTTCTCTATAAGAGGGATTATTTCTTTTTATTATTATTATTATGAATTAGAGCCTCTGACATTTAAGAAATCCGTAGCCAGATCATCACCAAGACAAAAAATATCTAAAACATTAATAATCATAAGCACTTGACCTACTGCTTATGCCATGCACTATACTTTATGTATAATTAGTTCATTTCTTACATACCATCCATGGTTTTCCTGGTTCAAAAGGCTTAATGTCAAGGCCATAGGACCCAGAGGCATTAGCCTGTGAGGAAGCAACCCACTGCGTGTCCATGTTTGGCACCCCTTTCTCGACAACGCCACTACTGTTGTCATTGCCTCCGCTGTTACTCTCCGGCCACCCAGTCTCAGATGTGCGATTAAGAGACCAGGTACTGTAATCAATAAACACCTATATCAATGTTCAATACAATGGGCAAGCAGCAGCAAAAAATAATGCATAGTACACCAGTAATTAACTTAACAACAGTAAAACTGGGGACGTTCTGGCATTAACAAAAATATTGAAGGTGAATATAAATAAAGGTAAAGTGATGAAAATTAGTAGAGAAAAGAAAAGGAGAGAAATAAATGTTAACTTGAATGTAGATAAAATGGGAGGCTGTGGATGTCAACAAATGGAAAAACAACAGAGAAGTGAGAGGAAAGGAAGTTATTAGAGGACTGAGAACCATCATTAAAGGTGTAGAACAACTTGCCTCCACCCATCCCAGTAAAGACTACGCTCCCTTCCTTTAAATCATCTCGTAAAAAATATCTATTGTCAAGTATTAATATTTCTTGTTATACCTACTATATTTACAGTACCTGCTTTTATTGTACCATCAAAATCGTTTTATCGGAAATTATCATGTAACTAGATAAGTAATTACCATTGCAATAAACATATTTGCCAACTAGACATAATCCTGACAGCTCTGTCCTCTTGTTCAACCTTATTACTGTACAAACCATGTTGTACTGCTCCCCCATTATACTTATGTTTTCCAGTTCCACTGTAATTTATGTATATGCTTATAATAAAAATAAAAATAAATAAACAAACAAAAAATATAAATAATTAAAAAAAATATTGAAGTGATAACTGTGGTAACATGTTCTTATTACCACCATGCTATTGTATTATTCCAGATGATACTAAATGTTACATAATACTTCCTTGAGATAAATGTATAGTATATACCAGGTGCCTAAAAGAGAGCTCAGGTTCTCAACTGGCTCAGCCATGTTAATATTGTTATTATTATCCACTCTGTATCTGTGTTCTGGCTAAATAAGCTGTTTCAATTCAATTCAATATGAGAATGAAACATGGACTCCCAGATGCAGGAAGAAACAATAAATTAAAGTGACAGACATGACAAGAATGATGTGGGGTGGCTGAATTGCACAGAATAAGATACGGATAAATACAAAACGTGGTAACAATGAGTTGGGCAGAAAGACTATCGGCATCTGCTTAGGTGCTTTGGGCATAAACAATGTGAAGTGAAGCCCAGTACTCTGTAATGTACATTGAGGAAGTGTGAAAGTACTGTATGTACAGCATGCTCGTCAAATTCACGAGGCTTAGGTGCTCAAAATGGCCATGAATAACATTAGCTGATGGGGGGTTTGTTGTTGTTACATTTCTTTTGTGTACAAAGAAATGTATATCCTCTTTATGCACACACGCGCATGCACACACACACAGAGAGTGGTCCCTTGGTTAACGAACTCAATTCGTTCCAGAGGGTCGTTCGTTAACCGAAACCATTGTTTCAATGGGATATTGGGTAATTGGTTCCAGCTCACAGAAAAGTATATACAAAGTAAAGCCAAAAATGCATAAAGTCAGAAACACTCCTAAAATTCCCCTAAATCGACCTTAAATCACTATACAGTGACCCCTCGTTTAACGAACACCTCGGTTAACGTAATTTCAATTAACGAACTGCCTTCCATAAGGATCTTCAATTCGGTTAACGAAAAAAAATTCGGTTAACGAAGTTCTTACGAACCGACCTCAACATGTTTTCGCTTGCACTGACCGGGCACCCAGCTTTAGTATCAGTCCGCCAATACATTAATCGGTTCTAGGGCTTAAATTCCTTACTATTTTAGTAAATATCAAGAAGTTTATACTATTCAATAATTTTAAAAGTTTAATATTCAATTTTTTAGTCATTTTATTAATTACTTAACATAATTGAAGGTAAAGTGACTAGTTTAATGCACGGCATCCAGCCTCTTAACACAGCAAACAGGCATTAGTCTCTCTCTCTTTTCACTGGAGGTAACATCTTGCTTGAGACTCTCTTCAACTAAACGCTTTTTTTCTGTGTTTCCAAGCAAATTATTGGTCATTTTGAAATATATTTTACATATTGACAATATATAATGCAGTGCAGTGTTGATTTAAAGAAAATAATCTTGAATTACACCAAGAGAGCTAAAATTTTATGGGTGAAATGGCGTCATGGGGTGACTTCTCTTCCACCCCAATGCCTTCTCTTCTTCCTTCTCCTCCACCCCCATTCTAAATCCCATCATCATCCAGGAGCCTTCTACATACACACCTGAAAGTAAGTGAACTTTTCTACCATTTTTGTTGAATTTAGGAAATTTTCGGTGAGCTGGAACCAATTACCCAAAAACCCATTGAAACAATGGTTTCGGTTAACGAACGACCTTCTGGAACGGATTGAGTTCGTTAACGGAGGGGTCACTGTATATATCGTACATATCCACTAGAACTCTTAAGTCACTACTGTAATGTGATACAGGTGATTATTTTTATCTCTTGTGCAAAATATATGACGTTTATATTCAAATTATTCGCTGTCTTGCAAGGATTCCAGCAATGTAAATTATATTCTCCTAACTTTAGTCTGAGATATTATATATGATTAAAACTTAAAGCCTTCTCAAACCCCCCAAACCTTTCTTGGGAAGGGAGGGAGGGGTGACAGTGACATGTTTGACAGTTGGCACCTGTGGTGTGAAGTATTTAATTGTTAATTTATGTCCTTTAGATTAAGTTTTTGTTTTTTGCTTATAAAACTTAATAGAAGTGACCCGGGTGAATTTAATTTACATTGCTGGAATTCTTATAAGACTGATTAATTTGAATGTAAACATGCCATGGTTTGCACTAGACAAAAATTTTAGTAATCATTTAGTACAGTATTCTGATTACATGTACAGTTCAGCTTTGCCCTTAGGACAGTGTGTGCATGTAAATGAGTTTCAATAAATGAATAAAGTTACATATATCGAGCCAAAAATAGTTAAAAACTTTATGTAGAGCTTGGATGGCTAAATTTTAGAATGACCAATAATTTTACTTTGGAAAATGCACAAATATTAAAGAGCACAATTTTCTTCATATTTACTCCAATGGAAACGAATGTAAACATAGAAGAGATTACTGAAATGACTGAGTACCTCCTCAGCTTATCAGCTGATGTGATTTTCATAAGGATTTCGTTAATCGAATTTTTTTTCGTTAACCGAATTGAAGATTCTTTTGGAAGGTAATTTGTTAACCAAGGGACCACTGTATGTGTGTAGACACACACACACACACACACACATGCTGTATATACAATACAGTCTCTCCTCGACTTACAATGGGGTTCCGTCTAGACGACCAGGTCGTAAGTCGAAAAGGCGAAAATAATACATAGAAATTCTAAAATGGGAGTCTTTTTTTCTTCCCAGCACCACGAGAACTCTCACTTTTAAGCTTGCCAGCCATTTTAAAAGGGAACTACAAACAAAAATTTTGTCAGTACACAGAGCGATCACCAACGTCGGGACTCGAAAATACGTAATTCAAAAAAATATTTTATACGACCACGGCCATCGTATGTCCGGGTTGTGGTAAGTCGAGCATGTCGTAAGTCGAGGAGTACCTGTACAGTACAGTACACTGTATATACTGGAGTAGCACATTTTGTTTATTGACAATATATTGTATGTGTACAGTAGTGCTTCCAAAAATAATTGCAGCTTTGGCACTGTCTGACTGCAGTTAAGCCTCCACAGCACCAGTGCTCCATGTGAAATGCAGTTTAAACGTGAAAAAAATCCCCCGACAGGCGACCTTTTACCAGGGACAAGATAATTCATCTCAATTCCTGGAAATGCTCTGTACTAATTGTTCCGGCTAACGGGGAGATTACTTACAATATATGTCACATATTTTGTGACATACTGTATAAGACACGACACCATTTCAGCAAGGAATATTCAGGAAAACTTTTCAGTGTACTTAAGCTTAATGTAGGTGATGGCTCATAATCCCGTTGTTAACACGTAGTTTATCACCTTTAGTTTGTAGCTAATATCTTGAGCTCCTCCCTCCTGTGGCCATAGTGTTCTTATAATGAGGTTAAAATACCATAAGCACATTATGTTAGCACAGTCCTTGTCGATATATTTTTACCAAGTTGTTGTTATGAGCAATGCTTGTTGTACTAACATGTCCATACCATGGTAAGCACTGCAAAAACACGAAAAGACAACCGAATACTAGTCTTCATTGCATGCCGATAGATGGCATTACCTGCTAGTAAGACTACAAAGAAATGGTAATGTTTGTCGACGTTATTTGCGGTTACCGAATAAAAATAATGACATTAATAGATAGCAAAGCGTGCAAGAGTAAACAAAAAAGTTACTAGTTAGCTTTGAAGAGTTGTTAGCCGTACAGACGATAAGCATTTTTTTGTAATCCAGCTTTAATGTTTACAATAATTCCCTTTTTAATTAATTAAAAGTACAGTAATACCCCGCTTTATGCGGCTTGTTTTTTATGCGTTTCTACATTTACGCGGTACACCGTCAGAACCGGAATGTTCACTTTACGCGGTGCATCTACTCATATACGCAACGGCGCGGGCAGGGTGCGCACAAGGTCGCTCAGTCATCAAAACATTACCGAGTTCTTCACCCGCCACCCACCACAGCCGGTCCAAGTCAGTGATAGTGAGGATATGGACTTATATGGACTTTGAGGGGTTTGACAAAGAGGCCCTGCAAGCCTCTGTGGTGGATAGTGATACAACTGATACAAGTGATACAGGCGAGAGCCAATAATCTGCCCTCTGCCTCGGAACCAACCCCCCATCCCCGTGTGCCCAGCCATCTTTTCTACTAATGTAAGTGTTAAAAAACCTAATATTATTGATATTTCTCTTAATTATTAATTGTGTGTGCATACCATCATAAAATTAAGAAGTTATTTTTACTACAACGTAGGTATTGTCTGAAAAAGTGGAGTTTAGGGGTCGGCCCAGTCTCTATTTCAATTAATCCCATATGTTCTGTTGTTCACTTTACGCGGGCCTCCGTGGGTTCAATTGACCGCGTAAAGCAAGGTATTACTGTAATAATAATGTAAACATTACATGATGTTTAAGTAAACAATAACAATGTTATTCTGGACTTGGGCCAAGGTAAATTTAATCTACTGGAGACAGCATCTGGGGGATTCATTAGCCAGTGAAAGACCTGCAACTTCACATATAGGACGCGGGGTGATTTTTTTGGGGGGGGCGGTGGCTTATAAGCCATAAAATACAGTGTGTGTGTGTGTGTGTGTGTGTGTGTGTGTGTGTGTGTGTGTGTGTGTGTGTGCTTGTGTTTGTGTATGTGTGTGTGTGTGTATATAAAATTACTTCAGCATACCAAGAAAAAAAAACTGAGTAAGCCAGGAAACATAATTTGTAAAATAAACAGAAATTATGTGTACGAGGCAGGTGTGAAGAACTGAACGAGGCGGGTGTGAAGAACTGTACGAGGCGGGTGTGAAGAACTGTACGAGGCGGGTGTGAAGAAAGGGGCTATCACAGTGGTGTGAGCTGCTCTGAGGCAGGTGTGAAGAACTGTCTGAGGCAGATGTGAAAGAACTGAGCGAGGCAGGGTGTGAAGAACTGTCACGAGGCCAGGTGTGAAGAACTGTCTGAGGCAGGTGTGAAGGAGCTATGCGAGGCAGGTGTGAAGAGACATGCAGGGCAGGTGTGAAAGAACTTTATGCGGGGAGGGCAGGTGTGAGCTGTCTGAGGCAGGTGTGAGAAGAACTGTCTGAGGCAGGTGTGAGAAGAACTATGCGAGGCAGGTGTGAAGAACTGTCTGAGGCAGGTGTGAAGAACTGTGCAGAGGCGGTGTGAAGAACTGTCCAGGAGCAGGTGTGAAGAACTGAGCGAGGCAGGTGTGAAAGAACTGTACAGAGGCAGGTGTGAAGGCTGTCACGGGCAGGTCATGAAGGCACATGCAGGAGGCAGGTGTGAAGGAGGGCCTGTGCAAGGGCAGGTGTGAAGGAGCTGAGGCAGGGCGGGTCTGAAAAAGCTGTGCGAGGCAGGTGTGAAGAGAACTGTGCGAGAGGGCAGGTGTGAAGAACTGTGCAGAGGCAGGTGTGAAGAACTGTGCAGGGGCAGGTGTGAGGGAACTGTGCGGGGCAGGTGTGAAGGGCTGTGCAGGGTGTGGAAGAGACTGTATGGGGCAGGTGTGAGAAGAACTGTGCAGAGAGGACAGGTGTGAAAAGAACTGTCACGAGGCGGCGTGAAGAACTGTCAAAGGGCAGGTGTGAAGAACTGCAGGGCAGGTGTGAGAAAAAGAACTGTCTGAGGCAGATGTGAACTGTACTGGGCAGGTGTGAAGAACGGCACGAGGCAGGTGTGAAGAGCTGTATGAGGCAGGTGTGAAGAGCTGTATGAGGCAGGTGTGAAGAACTGTATGAGGCAGGTGTGAAGAACTGTAGAGGCAGGTGTGAAGAACTGCACGAGGCAGGTGTGAAGAACTGTATGAGGCAGGTGTGAAGAACTGTATGAACACTATTGCACAAAGGTCATACCGGATAAGAAAATGAAAGCAATAATAATTGATAATCAGTCAATTTGACCAAGGACAGCTGACAAAGCCATGAGATGCTTGCTTTCAGTAAAGTCCTTTTGCCAGCAACATCTGATGTTAAGGCCAGCCGGTCACCCATCCCAGAACTGAACAGTTCCAACGTTGTTTAACTTCACTGTTAAGACAAGAAGCGATGATTCCAATGTGGTGACTTGTGAGTGGCTGGAATGCAGTGGAATATACTCTACATTCACAAGCAATTGATTTATTTAATAAAAAATTACACTATTTTTAAAGAAAGCATTACCTATTTGATACTCCCAGCAGGGGTGTTAAGTTTGGAGATGAATGAGACTGTGGCATGGCAGGTTTTCCTGGGGCTCCTGGGGCACGGATGAAATCATTGTCATCATTTTCCAGAGACGGCAGCTTCCACTGCTGCAGACGGCTTCCTTGTTGCTAATAAGTAAATGCAAAAGAAATCACATTTTGTAACTCTTATGCCATAGTCACAACTCTCCATGTCTTTCCAATTTTCTACTTATCCTTCTATAATTGACCAAAAGTTAAAATCAGTTAAACATTTTATTGAAAAACCTATATTGTTTTCATATATACAACTGCTTAATCTGCAACATGATGCCTAAGCTTACCCCAATGTTTATTGCAGTAGGTTCATTGACGGACATGGGATTGAAGCTACCATACAGTGGATCTGGAAGACTGGGCTTGTTGAAGAAGTCATTTTGAGTACCAGGGGGGCCACCAGTCACATGAGAATGAAGTTGCTGGTGGTGATGCTGTTGCTGCTGCTTCACATACAGGGCCTGCTGGGCAGCTATCTGATTCTATTAAGAAATAAACAAAAAAGGTAAATTTCAGAAGGTAACATTATAATTCATATTCACCATAATCAGCAAATAAAAGTTTTTATTGATTATGATTAAAATGTTATGAAAGTCAACTGAAATCAATAGAGATATCCCTTCCTTAACACAGCTCTAAGTAATATAGTTTCATTATACAGTAGACAATTTACAGCGCTCAACTCCTTCAGCTTGCACGAGGCTCTAAGGTGAACCTCCTGTATAGCCCCACACACTCACCTTAAGCTGTTGCCTCTTTATTCTTCTCTAGTAACAGTTATTACTGCATTTATGTTATTATATGTTTATTCTGTATATCGATATTTCTAATATGAAAGAGGTTTAAGACTGAAAAACTTCTGCTTGTAAAATATTTCAACTTGTAAGATATGGAAAAACAGAAACAGGTACAGTACAGTACACCCTTGCCATTCATTACCTATACTACTGATAATAAATAAATAAAAAAGTTGGACACAAAAACAAGTACAGTAGTTCTATATAATATAAACAGTTCCTTCCCTTCTCATAATCATACTTTGGGTGTCACCATTATACAAATAAATAAATAACACACAGGCAGACATGGACTTGCTGGCTGGTCAGCTGTTTGCCCATGTAAACAAACTCATATGAAGTAAAAAAAAAATTCCAAGGAAATTTATTATTTTATGATATAATGTTTTATTAACCTGGCACCAAATGAACCTAAACAATATGGGAATTATGGCATAAATTGCATAATGTTGTTATAAACGGGTTTGGTCCAACTGTATAACCTAACATAGCACTTTTATTGAAATGTGAGGAAAAGTAGACAAGATTGTGGAGACATTGGGCCCTAACAAGCTTGACGTTTGCTGTGTACTAGAAACTAGATGGAAAAGGGTTTCACCAAGGCTGAACACTGGCAACAATCACAGGTAGTTGGAAGAAAAATTAATCTGAGACAGATAGTGAGGGGATCTTGTTTGCTGAAAAGTGGGTGGAGAAAATACTTGAGGTGAAAAGGGTGAATGGATAAATATCTGGTTCTGAGGCTACTGGTGTACTAGTCTGGTGACGAGTATATCTGTATGTACCTCACAGGTTGGGAGTGTGGAAGACAGACACAATTTCTGGGATGAACTGATGCAGGTTGTGTTAAAGTTGGGTGAAAGGGAAATTCTAGTACTGTACTGGGTGACCGAAACAGTCATGTAGGTGTACACACTGAGGGATAGGATGGTGTTCATGGTGAAAAAGGAATATGGAACGAGAAAGATTA